TTCATTTTCTAGATGTTATAACTTCTAAATAATTTCATAAACTGAAATGATATCAATATGACAAACTTATATATTTATTTGATTTTTCAGGAAACAAAGCAAGGAATCCATCTCTTTCCAGCTATCCTATAAATAGCCAGGTAGATTCATCTCTCTAGCCTTGGATTGAAAAAGGAAAACTCTGAATTGCAAACCATGGAGAAGGCAATGTTAAACTGCTCCATTATCTTTCCCAAGAATGCATAGCAATTCACAGATAATAAAGAAAAAAAGAGGTGGGCATGATGACCTATACTCAAGACCAGATTTATAAACTGAAATGACATTAATATGACAAACTCATATTTATTTGATTTTTCAGGAAGGAAAACAAGGAAAAGAAGAATGTTTTAGTTTGTGTCATTGTGTTTCAAATAGATAACATTTGATTTTAGTTCAGAATGTTTAAATCTTAAAATTTTTTATAAAGCAGTGATTTTCATTTTCTAGATGTTATAACTTCTAAATGGTTTCATATATTGAAATGATATCAATATAACAAACTTATATCTATTTTGATTGTCTTATTGTTATAATGCTGGTTATAAAAAAAAAATCTGTTTTTTACTAGTTGTGTCGAAATATGCAGTAATTTGGTTTGCAATAAATAGTAAAATAGTGAAGGTATTTCTTAAAGAATATTTTTATTGATAAACAAGAGATAGCTATTCTAGTTTATTTAAATAATTTGCAATAAATTTAGTTCAAGCCATGTAAATGTCGCTAAAATATATAAAGGGTAAATGATATTCAAGAAGGGTGCGGACGAGTTAGATGGTGGCTCCATCTGAGAGGGCCCCACATTTTATTAATCTAGGGGTCCCAAAAGGTTATAATCAGGCTCTGTAAGTAGTATATTTATTGTTTCAGAAATGAAGACATTCGGACTATGCTGTTAACAAATGCGTATCTTTTCTACAGCCAATTTTTTTTTATTGTTTTATTTATATTTTATATTTTTTTATCAAATTTCAGTTCGTCTTTTATTTTGATTTCGTTTTGTTGAAAAAATATTAAGTAGTACAATTACTTCCTTGGTATTTCCCAGATAATATTACCTGCTTATCACTTTCAAGCACAAATATACTGAAAAACCAGTAATAAGGAGTGCCAGAGAAAATAACAACAAAAATTGCAATATGAGCTCTAGTAAAAAATGGAATGATAACAGCAAAAAATTGCAATATGAGCACTGGTAAAAAATGATTGCTGAAGACATTAGGTTTATAATACCCAGAAATTCATACACAGATGTCCTCAAGGAACAGTGGATAAAGACGTTGGTTAGATCCAGTGACAGGACCCAAAGAGTGTGAGTTCAATACTCGGTTAAGCCAGTGGAGAACTTGGTGAGGGGAATTAACAGGAAATAACTGATAACTGACATCCATTAAACATGGCACGTGGAACTAGAACAGTCTACCCCAGTGAGCGAAATAAAGGGTTCAGTTCGACATTCCAACCACCTGAAGTAGGCCGGAGCGTACAGCGGCCGAAACGTTGTAATAAATATGGTGACAAAGACGAGGACAATAGTCCGAATAATGTAAATAGTGTATACTGAAAAACCTCAAAAAAGCAGCAGAACGTAGACAGTATATCTTTGAAAGTCATAATGACACAATAATTGCAAACGTGAAATTAAAAAAAATTGTGAAATTTAAAAAAAAAAGAGATTAAAATATCAGAACTTGAAAACTGATGAAACGTTTTTAAAAAAAATGCAGCAAAAACAGCAAATAAATTTTCAGAAAAATTAGAGATGAAAAAAATCAGAAATTAGGATAACGAGCTTCACATGAACTTTACACGTAAAACAGTCAGTGTTTAAACATTACTTTTTTCTCTTCTTGTTCGACACGCAGAGATAAAAGTCATTTTCAGACAGCGTATTAACTAATGTTACAGAATGCTGAGGTTGGCCCAGAATGGCAAACTGCTGGTCAGCAGACGACATGGCATAAAATTCTGACAGTGAGAAAGAGAAAAGAAAATTCTCTGTCATTGATGTAGGGTTGTGGCCTGAAAAATTGAAGTCAGAGACGACACGAAACACAACACTGACAATGAAAAATGGATTTATTACGACAATAAATACAAACAAAGGAAATTGGAGTTAAATTTATTAAAGTATTCAACATCACAGGCGAAGTCCACAAGATGACTAGTTTTTGGTTGATTGATCTATTTTTACGGCTTACCAACCCGTTGCAGGTTATTTAAAGGCAGAAAATATTTTTGGATTGCAAGGATTTTTTGGAGATAATAATGATTTACTGATACAATTCATCCTGAGTAACCCATAGTTGAGGAGAAGAAGATGTGGATTCATACCTTGTTAATCCCATGCTCAACCGGTTTCGCATTCAGAGTTGTCCTCCTCCTAAACTGGTTACCAACAACAGCTAAAGAGCCAAATCTGTCCTACTGTTTAACCCATGCGTGGGGAGAAGAGATAAATTCACATCACTTCCAAGTCTATTTTCGCATAAACGACTGCAATGTACTCGACTCGAATTCGAACTCAGCTCTCCATGGGTATTTGTGCGTAAGTGAATGTAACGAACCCGGCTGGAATTGGAACTCGGCTCTCCAATTTCGAGCCGTTATCCATTACACCACCCGCACATCCAAGTTTACAGCACCTGACATTCCCAAGCATCACCTATCTAGGTACTGACCAATTTTTTTATCTTAAACTTGATTATCAACAATGAATTTATGTGTAACTCAAAGAAAATCAAGAAGCGTCTTGGGTGAGACGATAAAACTACATCCATGTCCTGGGTAAGACGATAAAACTACGTCCGACAACAAGGCCTCTGACCAGAAGGTTTTGAGGAGCATGGCACCCCCTCTTAATTGCTGGTGTTCCTAGGTCCGCCCTGACCTGGGGTGTTAGCACCTGCTAGGGTCCCAGCTATGGGCAAATAGTTACCCCCCCCCACAAAAAAATGGGATCAAAGCACTATGAAAGTGTAAAAATATTTTTTTAATACCATAAATACTTTTTTTGTAAAAGATTATTACCAGCAATAAATTTTTGAAGGAAAAAATTATTACCAGCAATACATTTTTGAAAATTTTTTTTTTTTTACAAGTAACCAGTCAGTTATGTGCCATGCGTGATACACGCTTAGGCGATCATGTACCTTTCGATACATGACGAGGCATTTTTTTTCCCGCAGCAGGTTACCATTTCTTTCTGTGATAGTTGCCATCCAAGGCTACAGAACCCAATATGTCCAATATTTACGCATAGCTGGAGGGAGAAGAAGAGGATTAATACTTTTCCCAAGGGTATTAGCACGTAAGTGAATGTAATGGATTCGACTGGAATTCGAACTCGGCTCTCCGATTTCGCTATCCATTACTCCACCGTATCGCCTATTAACAGAAATCCATTTTTGAAAGAAAAAAAAAGAAAAAAAATTACTAGCTATAAAAATTGTGTCCGTATTAAATGACCCACTGATGTTGCTATCTCGTAAACCAAACCAAACCGGAAATCATGAAAGAAAGGCTTTTCTAGTGGTCAAGCATCATTGAAATTGTTCGATTTTTTCGGTTTATCAACCTCCTGCAGGTTATTTAAAGCCAGAAAATATTTTTAGATTGTAAGAATTCTTTTGCTGATAACAATAATTTACGGATAAAAGTTCTATTAATTACCCCATAGCTGAGAAAAGATGGATTCATATCTTTTTCAAGGGTATTTATACGTAAATGAATAAAAACGAACCGGACTGGAATTGAAACTCGGCTCTCCGCTTTCCAATTCTAAGCCGTTATCCCTTACACCACCTGCACATCTAAGGCATTGCCAAGCGGTCACCTAGCTAGGTACTGACAAAGTTCGGCGTTGCTTAACTTTCAGTGATCATACGAAAATCGGTGTTTCATTGTGATATGATCGTAATCCAAGAGGAATAGTTCTCGACGTTTTGTTGACTCTGAGCGGAATTCTTATGTACGAATTGCTGGAAGTTGAACAACTGTTCGTGTATCATGCTACAGTGATGATTTGCTTTGTTTAACTAACACAATGGATGAGAAAAGAGATGTTTCTGGGCTAGTCTTTTCCCTTCTATAATATCTCTGATTCATCTATCACAAATACGAAGTAGCAAACGACCATGAGAATTCAATGTGAAAGTCTTTCACTTGCAGCATTTCCCGCAGGCCTGTCACTTCCAGACAATCATTTCTTTCGCTCCATTCAACACTGACTGGTCCGCGGTTCCAACGGATCAAACATATCGAAAACTTCCATGAAGTATTCTTTGAATCAAAAGCTGAATCGTTCTTTTATAATGGAATGTAAAATTGCCCTGAAAAGTGTGGAATCTTTTTTGTTTTTTTTGTTTTTTAAAAACAAGAGGGTAACTACTTTAATTATTAGACGATATTGTTAAGGATTTATATGAAGAAATTTCCCCAACCCTGCAAAAAATGTTTGAAATTTTTGTACGTCGTAAATACTGGTTTTTGTTGATAAAAGTATCTGCAATAGAATTGTGTATGCCGTATTAGGCTCCAATCACAACTCTTGTTGCCGATTAGGGCCGTAGGGTAGTGTGTGTGCTTAGGACAAGATAAACTGGTTTCCCATTCTGAGTTCTCCTTCATCTACACGTATTGCCCTACCAAAGCAGGAGGGCCCAGTTTGCTCTACTATTTAATTCATAGCTCGAAGAAGATGAATCTATCCTCTTTCTGAGATATTTAGTGCAAAGTAAACGAAGCAGAATCGGTTAGAATTTGAACTCGGCACGCCGATTCCACTTTCCAGGCCGTTAACAGTTACACAATAATAATCCCTTAGAATGGCTACACAATGTTTTACCCTCAAGATCCACCCCTCAAGTTTTACAAGCATTCATTTATATAGAACAGAAATGGCGAGTACGTCTGTGTTCAACATTATGTTTAGTTAATTAATCGTGGCAAAAACTCCAAACGATAGATAGATAATGAACAGACTGAAAATAGATAGATAGATAGATAGATAGATAGATACATACATACATACATACATACATAGAATGCTCAAATATTAATAATGACAACCTGTCTAGAAAAACTGGAATTCAAATGGCAACAATTGAAAGAGGAAAAAACGGAAAAATGATAGATAGATAATGATCAGACTAGCGATAGATAGATAGATAGATAGATAGATAGATAGATAGATAGATATGATGAGACTGATATAGATAGATAATGAACAGACTGACGATAGATAGAAAAATGAACAATATCAGCCTGTCTAGAAAAAGCGGAAGTAAAATGGCAACAACTGAAAAAAAAGCGGGAAAAGATTAAAAAATACAAAAAAACAAGTAAGGAGTAAGTATAAAGAAAAAAAAAACGATAGATAGACGGTGAACAGATTGAAGATAGATAGATAGATAGATAGATAGATAGATAGATAGATAGATAGATAATGAGCGCGTGTGAAAGAACGAGTGAATGAGTAAAAAAGAGAAAAAAAGAGAGGATATAGAGTGGGTATATTTTTTTCTATCTCATTTTCAAACTTTGCCTCTTGATATAAATTATTTATCTCCTGTTGTGTACCTCATCGTCTTATTTACTTTTTCTTCCGATGAACAATGGGTTATTAATTTTCTCTGGTCTTCTATTAAACTCTGTATCAGCATTTCTATTCTGTTATATATTTGACAGTCTTATCTATTAATATAGTTGAATGGATGCTCACAGGCCTGATTGTTGCCTTTGTAATTGTCTCAGTCTCCGATGGAAAAGAAACTTTACGACATCTTGTAAAAAATGCTGATACGCATTAAAAAGAAATACCGCTTTTTCTTCTTCTTCTTCTTCTTCTTCTTCTGCTTTTTCTTCTTTTTCTTCTTCTTCTTCGTCTTCTTCTTCTGCTTTTTCTTCTTTTTCTTCTTCTTCTTCGTCTTCTTCTTCTGCTTTTTCTTCTTTTTCTTCTTCTTCTTCGTCTTCTTCTGCTTTTTCTTCTTCTTCTTCTGCTTTTTCTTCTTCTTCTGCTTCTGCTTTTTCTTCTTCTTCTTCTTCTGCTTTTTCTTCTTTTTTTCTTCTTCTTCTTCTTCTGCTTTTTCTTCTTCTTCTTCTTCTTGACGACGACCATGGTTCTCGACAAATTCTTATCCTTTGAATCTCATAGTATATATTTATTTACCCGGTCTCCTCACTAATTCAGGATGTGACACAAGGCTATTTTTTTACGTGGGGGAAAAATTGGCCAGCCCGCGACCACTGTTACGCTGGTATTGATATTACACCGATCCGATCTCTTAGTGCACTAAGGAAGGTACTGTCGCAAGGTTGGAATCCCCGGGACCAACCGTCTTCTCCCAAGTAAAATGAAGAGAAAACTTTATTCTATTTCCGGCCAAAAGCGAACTCTTGTACCAGCAAAGACTTTTCAACAGACTTCCCACACCCACTTCTGCTATCCTTAGGTAGGTTACTCCATATTTTCCTATGTCCCTGCGGATATCAAATTCTTCAAACCTTCCTTTCTCATAATGTGTCTTAGAAATTTCCATTTCCTCTTTCTGATTCACGACCAAACCGAGTGTCGCAAGAATGGTTTGGGAAAATGATAAGAAAATAAAATAAAAGCATTCAAAGCTAAGAATAGTACAGAGCTATGTACATTCTAATTTTTAAATATAAAACGGCAGTGAGGCACTGGAAGAGCATAAGATAGTTGCGAATAGTCGAGCTTGCTTGACTTCATCTTTCCGGTCATCAAAGGTAGTTGATCCAACATCTTGAGTTGGTCAATGTATGTCATCAAAGGATGTCTAATGCTGTTATTGCCATGGGAGGATTTCCAGAGAAGTCACAAAGCCAAAACAAATCTTTTGGTGGTAAATCCAATACGGCAATGTTGCCCTGTACGGCACACACACACACACACACACACACACACACACACACACACACACACACACACACACACTGACCGTCTCTGTCTGTGTTTCTCAAGTCCCGTACACACTCTGAGGAGTATGGGGCCACAACTCTCATCGCGCTAAGCATTACTGGTATGGTTACCATAGCAAGTAGTATGTTTTTATGTGATCGAGTTGTTAATCCCATGCTCAGCCAGTTAGGCACTTAGAGTTGTCCTCCTCCTAAACGGGTTACCAACCACATCTAAAGAGGCAAGGCTGTCGTACTATCTAACCCATATCTAGGGAGAAGAGATAGATTCACATCACTTCCAAATGTATTTGCGCATAAACGACTGCAATGTACTCGAATTCGAACTCAGCTCTCCAATATTTCTATTTCGGAGTCGATATCCATGATACCGCCCGCACATCCACATCAAAACTTTAGTCGGAGCTATAATTCGTTTTGTGAGGGAGGTGATGCTAGAAATTTATGCCTTTCCAGCATCGTGCGTGATTCATCGTTGGTCGGAAATTGAGACTGAGATTGACTCCTCTATCGAATTCACCCAACCATCGTGCTGCCTACTATGCCTTCTTCTGATTCTGATCCCTACCCTCTGACCTGCCCGAGTTAGTTGGGTCAACTGGGGAAACGCAAGCCCAACCATTACATCAAGGCAAGAATCATTGGAAATAATAAAGTATTGATAAATATATTAAAAAAAAAAAAAAACTGCTGGTCTATTCCAGTCTGTTGACATCCGTTTACGCCGAGATGACCAGGTAATAAGCCAATGGACATAACATTCCTTTCTCATTTCTCGAGTTGCTGTTTACAGTGACTGACATGACGTAATTCCGTACGGGTGGCATGTGCATGGAATTGCATCTTTCATTTGCTTCGGTTAACACAAGATATTTCGAGATTTATTGATTATTAAATTAGAGCAAATTCTATTAAAATTTATAAGATCAAAAGCAATGAAGAAGCATTGCATGTTTTGGCCCCGAGGGCTGCTAGCCTGAATCCCAATTCTCTGTTCAAGGTTGCAGTCAAAAATATTTAGAACTCTGAATCTGAATGAGTGATTGCCTATCCAAACCTTTTGTTTTCTAGGTAATCGATTTAAATTATAGAATAGTTGTGATTTTCAATTACTTTGGTTTTTTTTTTCCTTTTTTTTCTGTCTGTAACAGTGTTACGCCTGTCTGTCTGATGGTCCTATTCTCTCTGTCTCTCTGTCTCTGTCTTTCTCTTTGTCTGTCTGTCAGTCTCTCTCTCTCCCCTCTCTCTCTTTCTTTCTCAAGCTCTGCTCAAAGGTACTCGACAAACGAGAAAGTTATTTAAGTTATGCTAAAGGTAAAATTCTTACTGTTAGTTTTCCTGGTGGAATTTTCGTTTGAAAGGGAATATTTTTCATCTTTTGAAACTATGACTTGCTTTAAAACAAGCGTTATTTCAGATCTAAAACGATCATGACGTTTGTTTAAAGACAATAAATACTCGATTTAACAGATGAGTAGAGACGAATATGTCCGTTAAATTTGAATATAATCAAGGAAACGATTTGTTTCATTTTATTAAGTGCTTGGATTTTGTATTTAATGGAACTTCAACATTACAACCTTAACCTCTTCAAGTTTAGAGTCAACCATTATCTTCCTTCGCCTTCTACCCATACAAACTACACCTAACGTAACCCTCTTAACCCTCTACATTGAGTGGCGCCCGGGATTTGTACAAGGTCAACCTTAATATATATAATATATATATATAGCGGCGAAACAAATGTTCAGAAAAACTCTCTGTCGTTGAAAAAGACCAAACGGCATGCGTTGAACGGATGTCATCATTCGTTTGAAAAAGGCACCCCTACCTTACCTTGACTGAACCTCTTTTCGAAAGTAACTAATATGTTGATACAATAGTTGTCAGTGAAAAAGAATACCCTTCTGCCCCTTGTTAAAATGATTGGATTTCTTCGTATCCATAAAAACTAATATTATGAATGTATGTGCTTATAAAACTCAGTAAATTTCAAAATAAGTTATTTCAAAATTTGCTTGAAAATGAAACAGAACTAGGGACTTTAATTTAATTATATAATTGTATTTGAAACTTTTAGCTTCTGTTTTTGAAACATGGTAATTCCTGTGTACTGATGGAACCATATTTTTAAATAATATATATATATATATATATATATATATATATATATATATATAGTTTGCAATAAAAATTTCGCTTGAAGATGGAGCAGAGCTCACTTTAACTCAATTTAATTTAAATAATTATATTGAAGTTTTCGGCTCTTGTTTTGAAACATGAGACTTTTTATGTCGCGTTTTGGAATCATATTTTAAATAAATAAATATATATATATATATATATATATATATATATATATATATATATATATATATATAGTACAGGACGACTTATCACTGCCAACTCAACGCTGCCGATTCAACACCGTGTTGACTCATCTTCATGACAACTCAACTCCAGGACACCTCATCACCAACCTACTCAGCGCGCGAGAGAAACTCAACAACGTGCAAACTACAAATATTTTCGTCAACTTTTTAAAACCGAATAAAAGTAATTTATTAAAGATCTTTATATATATATATATATATATATATATATATATATATATATATATATATATATATGACTTTATTTTCAATTTAAAAACTACTGTAAATTGTATGCAAATTCCCCTCAATATATTCAGTTGGAGATCGTTGTGAAAAAAAGAAAGAACGAAATCATTGTTGTACGTAGGAGTATCACCAATGACCGCTATCGTTTTGTGCATATTTTGTGATAAATGAAAGAAAAATCCTTTTATTTCGACTTCTGGAAATGCTTTTTCATGGCTCTAAAACAGCGATCTGAAACCACGCCAGCATTCAGTTGAGCTCGCACTGATTAGGTCGGTGGTGAGTTGTCACGGAGATGAGTTCGCCGGCGTTGAGACGATGGTGATGAAATGTACCCTCCCGATAATCACTGACATAAGGACATTTTACTCATTCTTGACCCACCGGAACGAATCGGGGAAGGATTAACACACACACACACACACACACACATATATATATATATATATATATATATATATATATGTGTGTGTGTGTGTGTGTGTGTGTGTACATATATACATATACACACACACACACACACACACACACACACACATATATATATATATATATGTGTGTGCAGGTATGTAGAAAAATAAGAAAGAACACGTTAGGTAAATAATCCGGAGTTTTTTAGTATTTTCGTTTTTATTTAAAAACAAAAAAACAGTGCTCCATACAGAAGTAGAGCTTAAATTATAATTATTTTTTAAAAAATATGATTCCTTCGCTACATAAGAGTTCTCATGTTTCAAAAACGAGAGCCGAAACCCTCAATATAATTATTAAAATTAAATTGAATTAAGGTATCAAGACCTGTTTCATCCTCAAGCGAGAATTTAGGAATAACCAATCATGTTCACTCGCAAAATTAATTACTATGGAAATGGCTGCGGCGACCATTTTGGTATGGGGCCTAAGAGTTAATTTTTATCCACATATCAGTCACCTTGTGAAAGAGGTCAAGCCGAGGTAGTGTGGGGGATCCATTTCAAAGCGAATCATGGCATTCATGTACGCACATTGTCTGGTCAGTTAGG